TTCTCTCAGTCTGAATTGGTTCGTGTATATGGTGAATGCCCGCTATATGGGGCATTGTCAAAATTATGGTCCCTTTTTGGGTCCCTATTATAATACGGGGCCTAATTTAGGGGACCCAAAAAGAGACCATAATTTTGACAATTCCTCATTTGACGTCCTTTGAAACAAAGCTGCTCCACAGGTGGTCTTAAGTGGATGAAAGATTGAACAGCAATTCTCAATGGAAGCGAGGCAGGCTGTCATGATTGGGATGGCGTCTTCTCTGGCTTCTTCATCTATGTCCCCTTGCTTCGTCCTTCTTATTGTTCTCCTTCTGCGGGTGTTTCTTCGTCCTCGTGTTGTTGCTCTAGATGTCTGTCTCGTCTGCGGCGCGTTTGCCCATTTGTTGCATGGACGTCAGTATGACAAGCAGTGCCAACAGTACAAATAGCAAACCCCAACTCCTAACCCCTCCATGCGGTTTCGGGTTTAGGGTTTAGGAAACCCGAAATCTTGAACCCAAAGCCCACCCACTACCGTCTCCTCTTCGCCCTACTCTACCAAGCAGTTTACTAATTCATGAAGCTTAGTGGATGTTGCATGTAGGACACTCACAGCCCAAAAATTAAAAGCCGTTTCTATTTCAGGCATGGGCATTACAAAGTGTCTGCGTTACTCCTGCAGCGCTAATCAATCCAATCAAAACAGCTATCATGCTTCCTATTGTGCTAAATAGAAGGCCACAGGTGGCATGACTATCAATGCAGCGTGTCATTGTGCAGAATCAGAATTAGACTATAAGGGCGGGAAGTCGCTGCTAAAAACTCGCCGTGTGTTGATTCTGAGTCTTACTTCGATAACATTGCCAACATTTGCGCTCTCACGAGCTTTGCGGACCCCCCTTGGAGCATTTGCGTGCAAAAAACTCGAGCATACATCTCACCTTGAGAAGCCCAACACCTTTCTGGAGGCAGAAAATGCACCAGCAAAGGTGCTGGCAAAAAGAATGATAGATACCTGGGTTGCTGTTAAGGAACTTAAATTAAGTCACTATATTATGGGTGTATAGTAAATAGTATGGGTTTCCTTATTGTTGTAAATCTAAACCTTACACCTTAAACCCCAACATAATTCAAGTTCCTCAACTTCAACCCAGATACCGCAGCAAGCGCAATCGCGCCGGCCAGGCTTGCTTGATACATCCGAGTTAGCAGGAAGCTCGTTGGAGCGACGCAGCATCTGGAGAGGGTGTAGGGTTTAGGGTTTAGGGTTTAGGATTTAGGGTTTAGGGTTTATAGTCCCCCTTAAGTAGATAGAATATGGGGTACATGGGGATCTCATTCTAATATACCCGAAGCCATATTCTATCTACTTAAGGAGGACTATAGACGGAAACAGCCTTTTTTCAAGCCCTGCGCCCCAACCACCACCCAAAAACTACGTTTTTCTTGGCTGAAGCTGCTCTTGGTTGCTCAATACTCTCTTCCCCAACAACCAGGGCTCAAAAAGTTTAAACTGTATTATAGAGACCCAAAAAGGAAGCCCAAAAAGGTTTTAAAGTTCTTCTATTGGCTAAGTAAGAATATGCGACATCAACAAATCATACCGACATGGGCGCGACACATCCAGACGACACAAATCAACAGCGTCTGCACGTAGTCCAGGATCCAGCTTTCAAAGCGTGGTTGGGCAAATTGCTTGGCCAGCCAGAAGACAAAGTACATGCTGCAGACAGCCAACATGCCTGGGTTGCTGCTAAGGAATTTGGATTAAATTGCTAGAATCAGGAAACCCCCTCATTTACACACTATATATCCATACTATGGCAGCTTACATCCTTTTCCCTATGTACCCATATAATATGGGTATGGCAACTTAACTTAAGTGCCTTAACAGCAACCCAGATGCTGACGGACATCAGCTGTCCCAGTACAAACCTTGCAATCACATCTCGCGGTGCCCCTGCGTTCAACAGCCCACACAGGAAATCCAACTGCTGCGCCTCGGATTCAGGGTTTAGGGTTTAGGGTTTAGGCTACTACAGTCTAATGGGGAAACAATAATAAATAATTACTATATATAGATATATATACCCATTGTGGTAATTAAAATCAAATTCCTTGACAGCAACCCAGGTGCTTGAATAGGGCTGAGTGAGAGCACGCAATACCTGAATTAGGTTTAGGGTTTAGGGTTCTTTTACCCATCACCCACAAAGCATCGCTAGTCCTAAACAAACTTCAACAGAGATCAACCACCAGCATGTTCATCAGTTTGAAAGCATGTCACTGTGGCCCCTACGCACCATATAGATCCTAAACTCTATCTCAAATTGCTCCTAAACCCTAAACCCCAAACTCTATCTCAAATTGCAGCCTTGACGCTGCAGCGGCACCCGAGAGCGCAACAACGTTTCCATCAACTCTTCCTTGAGAGCTCCGCGCACAAAGGAAGTAAAGTCTTCAAGGCTGCCATACCTGGAAAATGACTTGGGGGGTACAGGGTTGAGGGTTTAGGGCTTGGGGTTTAGGGTTTGGCTCCAAAACTCTGAGCCCTAAACCCCAAACCCTCAAGAGCCACGGGTAGAAGGCTTCGGGTCACCAATGTGGCTACGTGGGACTTGGCCTAGATTACTATTCCCCAAATGGGGGAAACCTATAAGGTCCCCCGATATAGCACAACCCCATCATGGGGACCCAGATGTTCTTGAATTCAGGAAAATCGCCAAAATAGTTTTGATGGACATCCTAGTAACCAGCAGACGTTTCAGCCCACCAAACCCTAAACCCTAAACCCTACAGCAGCTTTGGGGGCTTGAGGTTTCAGGTTTTGGGCTTAGGGTTTAGGACGTAGGGCTTAGGATGTAGGACTTCCGGCATAGTGTGGAGGACTTCGGGTTTTGGTCAGAATTTAGGCTTGAGGATTCAGGACTCAGAAAAATTTTCGAGCCAGGCTACCATTCAGATACGGCGGATAGGATGAACTGCCGGTCAAAGGCGCTGGAGCAGGATGCAGCACTCAGGTCAAAGTTAGCCAAATCTGCAAACATGTGTTCCTGTTCGCGGTACCTGGGTTCTTTCAGGGCTTCTTCAATTTTGCGAGGGTTTGGGCGGTTCCAAAACATGGTGGCTTCTTATTGGAACCCACATAATGGTTAGACGATTTCGGCCATTTCGGGAAAAACACATGTCTACAAGGTAGTTGGAATGCAGCCGTGTCCCGCTGTATGCAAACAGCTACTTCTTGACGGCGCATGGGTCGAGGGTTCAGAATTTAAGGGCTGTAAGGGCTTTAAGGGATTTAAGTTTTAAGGGTCTGGGTCTAGAGTTTAGGGCTTAGGATTCAGCCATTTCGCAATGTTGAGCAGCATCAAAACCTATCATTGCTTTAGGCCCTCGATGCAGCAACACGCTCAGAACTCAAGTTTGGAAATCCAACGCTGCCTTCCGGCCAAAAGCAGATCATTGGCCGCAACATTCCATGTCCAAAACCATCCAACTATCCCGTGTTTAAAACCTCAAGTGCGAGCTCTTAATCTTAGGATAGCGTATTCTAATTTGGGGTCCGCATCCATACTTATTCCGTCTATACCGTGTAACCCCTACGAAGACAGTTACGGGCCCGTAGTTAGGGCCCAGACCTCATGTGAACCCCCTTGCCCCTGCGAGCCCAAGAAACCCTGGAATAGCCCTGCTTTCTGATTTCCACTTTCCCGCCAAGCACTAAACCCTAAACGCTAATCCCTAACCCTAAACCCTAAACCTTAAAGAAGCGGCATCCTACTTTTCATGCAGGAAACCTTGCACAGCCTCGTATGCTTATACTACGTGGAGGGTCACGCGGTTTAGGGTTTAGGTTTTAAGTTGTAGCTTCATAACCCCTTCCATCCATATAACAGCCTATAACAACCCCAGCTATTCCCATTACCAACCGAGTTACTTAGAAAGTCCCCTGAGCCTCCAAGTACAACCAATACTTGAGGGTTTTGGGGATCTTCAGTGAGGCAAGAGTGCCTCCATCCACGGTATCCGGACAAAAGGACTCAAGCAGAAACCAACACAATGTTGCTGAATGGGCATGTGCCAAATCTATGATCCGCTTGGAGGAATCTTCGACCCTAAACCAGAAACCCTAAAAGAATCCCCATAGGATCTAGAAATCTTTTGTCTGTTAGAAGCCACATTGTTTAGGGGCTGTCGGGCATGGCCGTAAACCCTAAACAATCAGGGTATAGTTTTGGCACGTACCCCAACCTCTCCCAAAGGGCCCCCTCCTGATGACGTGGACGCATGGAAGGAGGCCAAACATGGAGAGAGAGAACGCCTGGGGTTGTTGTTGACGAACATGAATGAAGCTACCATAATATCGGTATATAATGGAACTTAAGTTAGGTTACCATACGCTTATTAGATGGGTATGTAGGGTTTAGGGTTTACGCTATGATAAAATCGATATGTAATGAATGATCTGGTTTCCTTACTATAAACACTTAGTTTTCGTTTCCTAACACCAACCCAGACGCTGCGAGTCGGATGCTGCTGCCGGTTGATGACATCACGAAGGTGAAAATGAACACAAACACGCCCGGCCACGCCTCGAGCATTTGGGCTTCAGGGTTTATTTAAGCAGTCATGGCTACGCATTTTCGTCTTGTAAGGTTAAGCGTTTTGGATTGCAGGCATTCGCGGCTGCGGGTTTGCGATTTCAGGTTGTTTCAATGGAGTCTGTGAAATGCGCCGACCTCCACGGCATGCTGGATTGACATCCCTTACCAACATAACCCAGGCGAGGTACTCCGGAGCCAAAAAGCCCTCAGTCTGGCGACGGAGTTCCCAGTCCCACACGCAACTGTGGCTGCGTGGTGGACCCGGCAGGTCGCTGGCGAATAACCCGTCAGCTTGCCCGAAAAGAATACCAAACCTTCCCGAATCGATGCGTCCCTAGTTTGTTGTGGCCTGCCAGGCCGCCCCAAGGCCCTCGCTGCCAGCGAAATTCGGGACCAGGGCCTAGGGCCTGAGGGCCCGGAGCGGGGGGCCAGCCTGCGAAACCTATTTGCAAGGGCCTCTCAGACCCTTCCAAAAACCTCCAAGATCTCCCCAAAGACCTCCCATCTTAGGGCCCTTTTTCTCAGACCTCCCAAGGCCAGCCTTCCCGTTGCGGGGCTGGAAGCTTTTCTTCGAAAACTAAAGGCCTCGAGCCAGACCCAAACCCAAACCTTGCACCCGTCTGGTCTGGACAGGCCCAACTGGCTCACAGACAAGCTGAAGAATTATGCGTCTTTTCAATAAGCCGTGGGGACTGGGTTGGAGGGGAGGATTTGCCCCAGGCACCTCGGGGGTAGTTTAGGGTTCAGGGTCTAAGGTATAAGGCTTACATAGGGTTTACTTGGAAGGTTAAGGAGGACTTAGTGCTTTGGTTAGTACACCGTATAATCCACGTACTAGTCTAATTATCCACAAGATTAACCGACTTATGAAGTCCCCCTGACCGTCCAAGCAAGGTTTAAGATTTGCGGCTAAAAAGCTTGGTCTGCAACGGAAAATCAAATGGAAACTGGGTTACATAGGGCATTTACAGGGAATATGTAATGCAGAGGCCTAAGCAGAGGCCTAAAAATCACACCTTGAGGTCTTTTCGAGGTACCCTATACTAGAAATACACAAGGCCTAGTCGGCCAGGGAAAGTTAGCATCCTGCGCGAACCCTCAGTCCAGCCTGCAAGGGTTCACGAAGCGTACGGCCTCATAAATATTAGAACCCTTAAGCACGGCAAGAAATCAAGCTACTCCAGGGGCCTCCTAGCGGCCCCCCCAGACCCCTGGCAGCCTCAAGGTTTTTTCTCAGCAGCAGCGTTTTAGGCACATGTCTGGGAGGTTTTTTGCTGGCTCATGAGGGGCAGCCCACACACGCCCCGGACTCGTCGTGCACTAGCAAAGCCTCTCAACTGATGGATTATGACTGAGCCCCTTTCATCAAACACTGCACCTGTCCGAGTGACCAGCCTTTGGCGGGTCCGTGGGTGGTCCACCTCCCATGTTTTTCTCGAGCCTGCTGCAGCTGTCGCGCCCTGGACTCACCTGTGTTCGGGCGCCCGCCATGATTTTCAACGCTGCCTACCGAGGCCTGAGACAAAAACCCTTGGACACACCCGACAGGGTGGTCTTGGGGTGGGCGCGACGTGCACCTGCAAGCCCTAAAGCCTAAACCCTTTTAGGGACACCCAAGGCTATCATCAGCTCTTAGGGGTTGGGGGGGATTCTTAGGCGGCGTTGATTTTTTTCCCATGAGGTTTGGTTGCGAGGCTTAAACGGAAGAAGTGGACACTACCAAGACGACTCAACAGGTTTTAGGGCACCAGGTCAACAGCAGGGTCGGCAGCCTGAAGTGAATAGCTCTTTGGATATCAAACATTAAACTTGTCTATTCCTTACTGGGTGTTGATGAAAAACGAAGAAAAAAGATGCAATGGAAACTACATTTTATCTCCAACAGTGATCCCTCAACCCTAAACCCTAAACCCTGAGCCCTGGGCCTCCAGACCCTTCTTAGCTTGACAGCATGGACCGGAGGCTCTCAAGTTTTCGGGCTGCCTGTGGACTCAGACAGTTTGAGGGTTTAGAATTTGGGTTCAGGGTTCAGAGGAAATTGTAGGGTAAGAGGAAGCATCACGCCACGAAGGTCTTCAAGCTCTGCGTTGCAAGGCGCCACCGGCAGGAACAAAACAGCTGAAGAGACATCTGGAGCTCAACGTATCATTCCAGCATATGCCCTCAATGAAGCACCCCCAATTTTGATGCTTCAAAATCCTGACCAGGAACTGCCAGGATATCCCCCTAGACCCTAAACCTTACACTGACCAGGAACTGCCAGGATATCGCGCTCGACGAATAAGGGCTGGATCTTGATCTTCCCTCGTGGGTTCGCCGTGCGGTACGCAGCGATCTCAAAGACCTCATGCGTTCGTTTCTGAAACAATACTACGGGGTTTCCCACATTTGTGATTGCCTAGAATAAGAACTGTAGTTCATCAATGTACCTGCAGGGAGTTGCTATTTGGGTAAACTCCCAGATAACCCTACAAAGGACTGGCAGAAGACAAACACCTCTTGAAACATGCGCTTTCCAGCTACTCTGACAAGCAACCACTCACAAGCCGATTTAGGATTTAAAGCTTACTGAGCACCAACATGGACAGCCATGGGAACTCAGATATTCGAAAGTCAAAGGTTCTCAGCTGCACAGCGCTGAGTCCAAGATGTCGAGCTTTAAAGTATGTGGGGAGAGGGCATTGCGAGTTATTTTCACCAACATCTGATGGCCCCATCTGTGCTGCGATACTCGTCACTGCCAAAACGATCGAGGTAAATGATGCTGTGAGGAAACCCTGCCATCCTTACAAAACCCCATGTTCATGTTCATAATAACGTTATAAGAGAGTAGCTGGGCATTAACGCACCAAATCAGCTCCTTTGCTTCCTATGATTTGCCACCGAGATACACACCACAAGCGCGAGAGGTAGGGTGGACTCCACAAAATCCACAGGTGCTGAGAAAGAGCCAAAAAGCCACCGATGCCATAGATGCCGTGTTCCCGCTGAATTGGATCCACTTGATTCACGCAAGCTACATCGTAGAAGCATCTGGAAGCCCGGCAAGAGAAGGAAGCTATGTAAGGAGCACAGAAGAGCCCCAAGACGGCCGAGAGAAATGTTACGAAGAAAATCCATAGGCCACATGGAATGTCGACTTGGTAGTCAGGCATGGCGCCCCGAATCAAGACAAAGACGGGCAAAAGGCGAAAAATGTAGAGAATCATTAGCAGAATGGCCGCAAGAAGCCACCCTGCCATTGCGTAGTGCCAGTATGAACTGAGCAGCAAGGAGAGAAACTTCTGATATCCAGGCGTCGCCCAGGTGTGCGAAATGAAAACATCGAAGCCTTCGGCTTCTGCCGACGTCTCCCACAAGCTGCGCAACTGAGCCTCATTCCTAGGATCCCCAGAATCCAAGATTAAGAATAGCCCGCCCCCCCTCCCCTTTTTGAATATAGTTTTTTGTAAAGAAATTAGGACCCCGAAAAAAGAAAATGGGCTTACTCAACACCCCTGATTCATCTTCTCGGGTCTTACGCGCCAAAGCCATCCGCATCCCTGTAAAGTTGACGCCAGGGATATGCATCGCACAAGCTTCACCTAGGTTCCCCAGTAACCCATTAATAATAAGGGTACCATTTTCCTACTGCTCAGTTTTAATAAGGAGACCACAGAATAAAAAGGGCAAAAGGGAACTACTGGGGTACCTAGTCACATCTACGTCCAACTGAGCTTTTTCTTTGACCGCCAGTGCTCTGAAGACAGTCCAATCCGGATACGCCGGGACGGCCGTCGCACCGTAATCTGACCATGTAATGGATGTATCACAGTCAGGCACATGGGCTTCATGCTCGTTGTCTGGAATGCTGGAAGGTGCATGGACACCTGCTTGGAGGTTCATAGGTACATAACAAGTGGAACCTGCCTTTTGCAGGCTAATATGATCCAACCTTGTTTGGAATGCATACGACCTTGTCCCTGAAACCTCCGTGCCCCAACCTTGCTTTATGTTTTTAAGTCTGTGGGGCGTTAGTTTGGAGGGACCCTTAGCCCTACAACTTTTGAAATGCAGAAACGTTATGCATCCAGTATGAGGGAAGCAGGAATTTGTGGGCGGTTTAGGTTTTTACATGTACATAATGTCTTGCAATGCATTCTTGGAGGGCAAAGGGAGCTCTGTAAATATGTTAGCAACCCCTGTAACCCATGTAGTAACCGTAGTTCTCCCCATTATTCACCTACTTACAAAAGAACTGTAGTAGTTCCCATTTTTCCACGATGTATCAAATCCCTTTGACCCTACAAGTATTGAATCTTAGGGGAGAGGATTAACCCTGAACCCTATACCTTAAACCCTAGACCCTCAACTGAAAACTCTAAACTCTCTTAGTGGAGGGGCTTGAACCCTAAACCGTAAATCTCTAAACTCTAAATCCCTAAAACCTAAATCCCTAAATCCCTAAACCCCTAAACCCCTAAACCCTAAATCCTAAACCCATGGAGCCTGAAAGCTGCTTCGCATCAGAGGGAGCCTGGTCTTTCGGCTCTTCTGCGCAACAGCTGCATGCTGGCTGCCCCATGGCTTGCTTTAAGATTTAGGGTCTAGGGTTTAAGGTTCAGGGTTCAGGGCTCAGGGTTTGGGGTTTAGGGTTCAGGGTTCAGGGTTTACGGTTCAGGGTTGAAGGTTTAGGGTTTTCGGATTAGGGATTTAGGATTTAGGGTAGTTGGAGATGTGGGTTTGGGGCTTGTTGCCCCTTGGCCGGATTAGCCGGACGATCTTCTACTTGGCCCTATGTATTCCTAGCACACTCAGAAAAACATAGATCTGCGTAGAAGCTTCTGTGCTGCTCCATGGCTGGAATGCTTCAAACAGTATCCCTTAAACTTTAAACCCTAAGCCCAGTATAGTTAGTTCCATGCCTGCAGCCCCGCGTCCGATGGCTGGCAGAGTCTGCTTCCGGGTTTTGGGTTTAGGGTTAGTAGCCTAAACCCTCAACCCTTAACCTTAAACTAGGGGCTGGAACTCCAGGCTCGAGACTTCAAGCAAGCACGGCACGCGCAATAATTACAGAGGAAAGGGTTTAGAGTGTATGGATTTGGGTTTAGGGTTTCGGGATATTCCCCGAGCGTTTCTCGGAGACCATGCAGAAAACATTGAAAGGCGCACGCAACTTACACTAGCAGCACTCCAGTAAAAAAACGCTTCAGCTGCCAACTACCATTACAGGAGCATCGAACTGCGTCTTCAGGTAACTTTTGGAAACTCTAGTGGCAATCCCCCGGCTTACCAGGTTCAAGTATGACTTCTGAAGCGTTCCCACACTAAACCCTAAACACTAAATCCTAAACTCTTTAGGGCAAGGTCTCAACAGATACCTAAGCCCCAAGTGTTCTAGACGCAAAGACTTGCCGTGACTCCCAACAAAAAAGCTCCTGTTTTTTGGAAACCCTTAGTTGCATTGGTTACGCAACGATCCGCTTCTATTACTACCCCCCATAAGGTTCCGGGTAGGAGTGTTTTTTTGCTGGATGTCCGCCCGGATGTCCTCCAAAGCCTTGTGAGTTCTGTTGTCAGCTTCTGTCATCGGCCTGTGCCACAGCCGCCGCAATTTCTTGGTGCTGGCCCGCTTGCAGCTTCTTGGTCTGCAACTGCAGCAGCTCCTGGATCTGCTCAAAGCTGACGCCGGAGCTCGCCCCACTGCGCTTTCCCAGGGAGTCCGGCGGCCCTCTTTTTGGACCCCGGCTCCGTATCCAATTCCTTGGCCGACATAGATCTTGCGCAGGATCGCACCCTTGAGCAAGCCCTCGCGAAACTCGGTGGCCTTGTTCACCCTAACGCGCCGACCACGGCAAACTCGTTCACCCTGACGCGCCGACCGCCTTGCCCTCGAACGGAATCAGGTCCACAGCACGATGACGAGCCCCGCAGCCGCACAGCAAATGGCTCAGGTCAGAATTGGGGTTTAGGGTTTAGTTTAGGGTCTAGGGTTTAGGGGTTTAGGGGCTTAGGGCTTAGGGAACCCTGAACCATCCTCAGCATCGCCCAGTAGACCAAAGTCATCTCGATGATGCCTGGGAGGTTCATCGGTGATTACATCCCGGGCTGAAGACGGTTGTAACTACTGACAACATCCTGCATGACCCTAAGTATAAGCCCTAGAGTAGTTTGGGCATACAGGGTCGTGCAGGATTTTGTCAATGCCGCATGACTCTACTGATGACTACTTGGAGGGTCAGGAGACTTAGTAAGTAGGTTAATATTGGGGATACGCAGGGTTATTACAGGGGCTATTAACCTACTGACCAGGTCCCCTTGACCCTCTAAGCACCCATCACCTTCAAAGGATTCGGCATTTCTGCCCTTGCCTGCAAGCGGCCGCCACACACCCCAGCTTGTGCATGATGGAGAAGTTGCCTGGCTGAAATGTGTGACTTTCTCCCATAGAAAAAGTATCCTTGAGCCCTGGCGATATGCGGTTAAGGGTTAAGGGTTTAGGGTTTAGAGTTATGGATTGTTTGCAGAGCTACCCGCAATGTATCACCCTCGTCTTCAAGCTCAACCTGGACTCACTCCCCAGCCGCAAAAACCTTCGGACCCTACAACCTTTAAAAAAAAAAACTAATTACTGTTGGCTTAAGAACCTTAAGAAGTAACAGTAATAATCCCTATATTACCTTTATGAAGAACAATATTTCTATTCCTTGGGTGGTTCCTAAGCAAAGAGTGGCTAATATATGCACCTTCACATCCTTCACTCACTCGGGAAGTCGCCCCTCGAGCAGCCGCAGCGCTGATAGCGCTCGGCGCAGCTCAGAAGGTAGTGGTGCCTCGAGGAGCACCTCAAACACGGTCTAGGTTAGGAGGACCCCCCACCCTGTAATAGTGACTATTATGGATACTAAGGATTATATTAGGGTCCTCTTATATTCCTATTATACCACTATTACAGGGTGGGGGGTCCTCCTAAGTCTAGGGTTTAGAGTTTTGGGATTAAGGGTTTAGAGCTTTTGGGGTGAAGAGTTTAAAGTTTAGGGTGTACTAGTTTTAGGCTTATGTGAGGTTTAGAGTAGGTTAGGGCATCTCAGGGCGTAAGTTTCCGCATGACTCTTTAGGGTTCAGGGCATGCGAAAGTGCGCAAGAGTAGGCGTCATGGGCCCCTAAACCTTATTTGGAGGGTCAAGGGGACTTAGTAAGTAGATTAATGACCTCTATTATCCACACAGTAACCCTACTTAACCTGCTTACTAGGTCCCCTTGAGCCAAGTAAATCTTACGAAGAAAGGTTTAAACCCAAGATCCTAAACCCTTGCAACAGTGGCCAGCTCTCCTCTTTGTAGCTCTAAACCCTAAACCCCAAACCCTCTTATGGGTTTAGGCCATAAACCCTCCTAAACCCTAGACCCTAAACCCTAAACCCTAAACCCCTAAACCCCTAAACCCCTAAACCCCTAAACCCGTGAACCCCTGAACCCTGAACCTCTAAACCCTAAACCCCTAAACCCCTAAACCCTAAACCCCTAAACCCCTAAACTCGTGAACCCCTGAACCCTGAACCCCTAAACCCTGAACCCCTAAACCCTGAACCCCTAAACCCTAAATCCCTAGATCATAGTTCCCTTAAAAACCATATGGGCTTCAGCCAACCACTACAAGCTTGGCTCGATCAG